ATCTATTTAAATATGATTGGTCATTAGTATGTACTTTTGTGTTTTTATTTAACTGAGTAATTGTCATGAACTTTATTTTATACTATTTTTGTTAACCATGTTATTTGTAAAGCGGTTGTAAAGAAACTATGAAATGATGTCGTCATCTCGCGAAAATTGTCTTCTTAATGCCTTATTCAAATCTTTCTGTTTCTTTGTCTACTGACAAAAGTGAATGGCTTGACAGCGTCGATATCATGTCCATAGTCCACAAGAGGTTTTTTTATTGAGGTTCTTGGCACTTTGCATTCAACTGTTTTCAACCATTTTAGCAAATACTACATCATGCGAGTAGATAGCCGCCTTTCTGTAAGACCTATGCATTTGCTGCCACAAACACACTCAAATTGATAAACGCAGTTTGAAGTCTGTCGAGGATTGGCGACTGGTCTTCCACAGATTGTTGGAGCACTCGCTTAGTGGTGTTAAGGAAAACACGTTTTGGAGTATAATGAATTCTCTTGATAGTTTTATCGAGTTTTCGTTTTACCACTTCCTGTAGGAGATGATGTACAGGAAGTAGTTAAACTAAGACACGATAAGTGTATCAAAAGAACTTATCCTGCAAAACTTGTTTTTTGACAAAAATTATTTGTCTACTTATTCAGGAGGCTAGTAGTATACAAACAAAATATGAATAAATATTCAATCAACCCTTCATTTCCACAACCTAGTATACTAGTTAAGATGTCTACACACTATTTTGTAGACTGACTGTAAATGTATAGTTAATCCTGAGGATAGAGCATAGACAAACCAGCAACTTTTTCTGTTAGTTTATTATTTTAGACACCTAAGAAAGTAGTCGATAAATATCCTGCTTGAGACTATATTTGAAGAGGTAATTATGTAAGATTTTACTCAGAATGATAAAAACTCTCAATGTCAAAACCTTGCACAAGGTGACTAAATTTTTGCAGAAATTGACCTTAAATAAGGAACAACTGAAGGTGTTTGCTTCAAGCTGGAAACTACTCAGCAGTACATATCTACAACTGTTTGACGGTGAAAAAACCACTTCCGTTAACTTTCTGTGAGAGAAAAGTTACCATATAAGAGAAAAACCTTTCCATAAGAGAACGTCTACACTAGATTCTGAGATCTTTTTCCATTCCTTTACGTTCTTAGTGGAACATAGGACTTCAAATTCTGAAGTTTCAGTAGCAGTTTAGTGTTTACCCGCCAATCATACCTCTTTACCGGGCTTATTAACAGCTAGGCGGGATTTAGGAGTGTTTTGTGCGGTAATCAAACGTGGACTATATTCGTCGTTGACGAGCATTCTGCAGTCGAACCAACCGATGGACATATTTTGGGATGCATTATTCATGAAGAATCTACTTAACACATAGTTTTTTCTACTTCTTGGCATATCTTTTTTGGCATACCTGTAGTCTAAATTTACGTCGTGTCCATTGTAGGCTTGGACCACGTGTTACTCACTACTAAAGTGAAAAATTCCACCAATAAGTTATCAAGGTGAAAGTGCATACCTGTAGGAATGTAATATGCATTCAGCTTTATTGTTGTGTCAGTTAATTGTTTAATTATGCCTTCACTTATATTGCCATTTTTATACCACAATGCCTGTAATAATAGAAGTTAAATGGTGTCTAGAAATCACTGAGATTTATAGTTAAATGAGTTCCACTTTGTTGTTTGTGGACCAGATAAGATAGCCATTGTCTACGTGGCTTTGCCACAAAACAAAAAGACTTTTTTCTAGAAAATAAATTAGGTTACTAATTCAGTTAAACAAATGAATAATAACTCATACCCAATAAGCAAGAGGTGACTCTTATGACCCAGGTGGTCTGCTGAGTAACCAACCCTTTAGTGTTTGGAATAATGCATAGTGGGTTTAAGCCTAACTGAGAACACAATCACACACTGGAGAATACAGATACATTCAGTTGACGAGTCCCGATTGGGACGAAATTCGCATCATGGATTCTACTGTTAGTCACCATCCACTAAAAAACTTCAAGGAAAAACAAGTTGATCTGTTTTCTGTGTACACTAGGATAATTTCGTCTTTCATCCCTTTCGATCACACCCCTCCCCCCATCTTAGTTGAATGTTATTCTTTATCTCTTCTTTATCTGATTGTTTTGATGGGTGAAGGGATGACGAAAAATTTAATTGTTGTGTTTGATTATTAGCTCCCTTTTGTTTTTAAAAATACTTTATCATACCTTCTAGGTACGAATCTTAAGAGGCACTACTATCAATGCTTGAGTAGAATGTACATCTATCTCTGCGACTGGTCAGACATATGATTTAGCTTGAATTTCAGTGTTGATTGTATTCCTTCACGTTCCTAGTAGAGCATAAGGCTTCAAGCTAAAGGGTTGAAGTTTCGGTAGCAGTGTTTATTTCTACAGGATATGTGATTGCTAGCCTCAGGCTCAATTTTTCCTCTTTACCAGGTTTATTTCTGGCTGAGCGAGGTACAGGAGTACGTCAGCTGGGGATTCAACTGCGAACTACATGAGGCGTGGTTGGCGAGCTTCCTAACCGCTACACCACCAACGCCAAGGAGTGCGTCAACATTCAGTGTTGGAATCTATTAAACAAACAACGTGTTCGCTTTACTCATTTCTTCCATTAAAATTCATTCAGTGGATTAAAAGATCGATGGAATATGTTGTAATGAACTCCAACTCATTTAGTGAATGGTACAATTCAGTTTGATATGTATTCTGTATAAATATTTGCGAGTAAAACACCACTGACGAGTAGATTAGTGAATGTTCTTTACCTCTTGGTGCTTGCTATGTGTGGCTAATTAGTCTGAAGTTTATGATGAAATATTCACAGATCTTTTATATTTATCTAATAAGCTTTGAAAAAAACTTTAATGAGTGCATTGCAGTCATTTAATCAGTAATTTAATCAGTTCAGTTATCATATAGTTGAAGATCATAGAGATAGAATTTTTGATAAGAATATCGGTATGACCTTGGCTTAATTATCCATCCTGTTCTGTTGATTAGTATCAATTCATTACTGTAAGTGGTCAGAAATACTTTCAAACAGGAAAATACACTTATTATATTTACAAATTCTTCTCAGAGAAAGTTTACATATACATATGTATAAGAAGAACTAAAATTTTCTTTTACACAGTATACAAGTATACGAGTTTTGATTATCACTGTGTCCACACGACTAATATAATAAAACAGTCAACATAAAATGTCCCAGGTTATTCCCATAGAACTAAATATTTTTTATATATGAATCTACATAATAATAATAAGCTTTTTTTTATTCCAGAACAGTATTTACGAATACAGAATGGGATTCTCAGTATTTTACTACAGAATCACATCCAGTTAGTACATTAACAATAAAGAAAATTCTACATAGATTAAGGAAATCTCAGTTCATTATGACAACTTATTGGCATGTTCGTAGCAAAGCCAAAACTGGACAGGGTTTGAAGGTGTTAGAAAAGTAGGTGCTAGCATATTTACTGGCGTAAGCGGAATAAAGAAACAAAGCAGCACATAACAGAAAAAAAGACAGAGATAAAAGGAAAAGAAAGAAAGAAAACGTTGTACCTATAAATGATATGAGTTGGAAAGACGAGATCCAGTTGTTCTACTGACTATTTAATAAGTTGTAGGTATCACGCTTAATACTTTCTTTATCGCACAGAACACGAGCTAAGTAGGGTATGGATGAGTTTTTGTACTTACTAGTGCGAGCTTATAGTTTTCTATATAGGCTTCTGGTTTCGCCTGATGAGATACAAGGGGGAGAGTTGTGAATGAAGCCATTGATGCTGTGAGTTAGATAGAATGGATTTAGCCCATTTTTCACATGAGTGGGAGTGCCTCTCGACCAGAATATTAACAAGCTGGTTAAGTGGCACGTTGTTTACCCTGTTGACAACCTTTAACATCCTGCGTAATAAGGTATAGTCTTTCTTCAGTAGTCCAGGAAAAACTAAGAGGGAACAATAGAGAATAATAGGCAGGATGCAGGAGTTAACGAATTGTAGGAGTAAGGGTTGGATTATACCAGAATGTCTTAACTTCTTGATGTAGAAGGTAAGACGGAATATTTTCTTAGAAATCATCAAAATATGAGACGACCAGGAAAGATCAGCAGATAGAATGACGCCTAGGTATTTAATTTCCGACTTGGTTTCTGTTTCACTGCGATCTATGTTGCAGACCTCGTGAGGGCTAACCAGTTTGTTTAGGTCAGATTTATGCCTGAAGGTGAAATTGACTGCTTGACAAAAACATAAACAGATATGTAATTAAACACAACGAGTTAGTCTAAAATTTAACTAATCGCAACAGTTCTACTGGTGTTTTCATTGAGTAACTGGAATAACACGTCATTGAAGAATTGTAACAACAGAAACCGAGACAATTGATAACAAAATTATTTATTGCCCCTCAGTATACACAGATATAGGCAGAATATGCCTACCATATTGTAGAATTACAATAAACATATATATATATATATATATATTCTGTGTGGCTCCTCTTTATCTTTCTTCCATGTCATCCAGGTTGTTTCTTAGCACATCGTTCATTAAATCCATCTCTTCGCCATTGTATTCTCTTCACACTGATAAACATGTTTATATACATCCGAATCTATATACTACTTATAAATCTTGTCAGTAATACCCGTCAGAGAATGAGTTATGGAGTGAAATTTATAGATGAGAATTTAATTTCACTTTAGTTAAATAGAATTTCTCTTAGCCATCTTCTAAATACAATATAAGTAATGTCTGATTGTCACAGTAGAATTATTATTCATCACATAGCCAAACTATGCCTTAGATGAGATGAATTTAAAACGTTAACAGTACAATAGTCGGTTAGATCAACCATCTGTCCGGTAGCTGTTATTTTAAAATAGTATACACATTACTAAAACTTTCACTTTTAGGCATAAACAAAAAAGACTAATTCATAAGTAATTCTTACCTCAGTATGCATTTTCTCCGGTAGCTTAGACGGCTTCATTGATAACACTACTGTCTCATTAAATTCTGAAGCTCTAAGCCTTATACGTTTTTCAATATTAAGGACTTCCTGTTTCTTTACACCTTGAATCTATCAATTCAATAGAATCAATAAAGACAAAATACATATATACATTATTTTGATGAGTAAGGACAGTAAAAAGACGTCATAATCATTACTCAAGGTATTCAATAACAGTGGACCTACTTGTTCTCTCTTAAGTAACCTATTGAGTTGCTTAACTGTAAGTAAATGTGGTTCTATTTCTCAGCCAATTACAGTGAATAAATTGTTTTATACGATATGTGTATTTTAATGCTTCTGCTTAGATTCAGTCAGAAGCTAGAAATGTGATTCGTTTTAATCAGCCGCTTATCAGAGTGATAAAATGAAATATTCAAGTGTTGGTTTGCGTACTGTTGAGGAATTCTAATCCAGGGCTGTATGACATTCAAGAGTTTTCTAACCTTAGTTAATTCGGGATTCGAATAATTATGCTGAAATAATTATCTTTCCTCATAAACACTGTTGATATCAGAAGATTTAAATCTATTCATTTCGCGTGTACACACACACACATCCATACCCAATTTAAAAAATGCCAAGCTGTCAATCTCACGATTCAAGTATTGGTTTGTAGGAATTTGATTGATTGGTTACAGGATTTCATGGTGAGCTGACATTGGTTAGAGAACCATTGGAAAACCTGCCAGGGAGTACTGGACAGCTGTTTCGTCCCCCTAGTTTGGGACTCTTCATCAGTACTCACCAACCGGGGTTCAAACCCAGGACCTTCTGGTTACAAGGCGAGCTCGTAGAGCATTAATCCACTGAGACCTGATCCAATGGCCAGTCCATGAATTCCAACTTCTGCCAATTCACGATATAGCGCAACCGCTAACCAATGTCTTCGGCGAGTATTTGTCCTCACACCCGACCTGCTGTACCCTACTGGTCACGACTTCCCACTGGAACCTAGGTAACTAGCTACCTGAATAGGGCCAGTCGCCAGTGAGCATCTCATTGATATTCAAGTATTGGTGGGTGCGTATTGTTGAAGAGTCCCAAACTAGGGGGACGAAACAGCTGTCCAATACTCCCAGGTTTTCCAATGGTTCTCTAACCAATGTCAGCTAATGATGAAATCATGTAACCAATCTCAAGATTGTTTGATTGACATATCCCTACAACTTCGTTGAAACACAAGTTGCATGTTTCTATTTCAATCGGGTTCACTTTGTTGAATCCACTTCGTTATTTGCATTCACTCAAACGAAAGTGAATTTAGTTGAATTCGCTTTATTTTTTTTTCCTATTGAAATGTTAAACTACATGAAATTCTTGGTAGTATACTATACTTTTATTCTTATGGAATATTATCGATCATATTCAATGCTCAAAAAATGGGTAGAAGTAGCCTTTCTTGTTCTGTATTTTTGTTTATCTTCATCATTTCGAAAAATAATGATATTCTATTTGCATGCCTCTCATTCATTTCAAAAATGACTCAGTCATTTAAAGACCAATATGAAAATGTCTCAATTCAACCAGCCCATCGACAACATAGTTTATGTAATTTAGAAAATGAATACAAAATCTATTTTTTCTCTCATTTACATTAAAAACTAAGAAAGCTATCAGATCATTATTCACACGTTACGGTTTGTTCGAATATGTTTGATCTGGAGACAGTTATAAATGGAGGTGCAGCGGTAGAATAACTGTTCTGCTTCATCTTTGACACCATGTCATATATATGTGCTTATTTGGGAAGTACCATCAGCCCCAACGGGTTGATCTCCGACGAAATCTCAGCACGAATACAGGGGGCTCGTTTCGCATTTGCCAGTTTACGCCGACTCTGGCGTAGACGAGATGTTCGACTATCGACCAAAGGGCGGGTGTACTGCAAATCAGTCCGCTTCGTCCTCCTTTATGGTTGTGAGACCTGGCCACTGAGAGTGGAAGACATGAAAAGCCTGACTAGCTGTCTTTGATCATAGGTGCCTGTGCTCTATTTCCCGTGTAAAGTGGCATAATAAGGTGAGCAACATTGAAGTTAGGCGTCGAGTTCTAGGTAAACAGGGGAAATCAATCGACGAAGTCGTGAAGTTACAAAGACTAAGATGGTTAGGACATGTGTTACGTATGCCAAGCCATCGCCTCCCTCGACGAGCAATGTTAGCGGATATAGGGTCAGGCTGGAAAAAAGCTAGCGGTGGTCAAACAAAAACTTGGCACCAGTCATTGGAATCCACAACAGTTGGTCTAAGCCACGTAGGAAGGTGTAGACTTCCAGGCTGGGGTCCTCGGGACGGCAAAAATCTATGGTTGGAAACAATTGGTGACATGGCTCAAAATCGTTCTCAGTGGCTAGCGCAGATTCATCCACTCCCTGTGACTTATGATCTCCAATGAAACTGCTTTGTTCTTCGTTATTACTCCTTTGTCTCACACCTCTGCTCACTGTTTCTATTATGCTTTTCTTGTACTTTCTTCTCTTGCTTCGCGTGCTACACGGAATGTGGCGACTTGAACTTCCGCACATTTGTGCAAAGTTCTATGTCGAAAACAGACAGACAGACATATGTTCGGATGTGCACTCCTGTACATTATTTCAACTTAACCACTATCTTTAAGCGAATACTCTTCGTTTTTCGAATATTGCTAAAATAGTGATAATAAGCATTCATTAACAGGTTTTAACCTCGCCTAGTTAACTAGATTGCTAATTTTCTAGTCTGTCCCAAGCCCGGGTAAAGAAGAAGGGTTGGGCGTGGGGCTAGCGACCCCACACAACTAAAAAATCTATCAAACTGCTGGAGAAACTTCAAAACACAGAAAAGGCAAGATATGCTTTCATCAACCTTAAAGCAGTTTGGAAATCTTCTACGCTCAGTCAACATAAAGAACAAGCTTCTGATTTTCAACACAAATGTGAAGTCGGTGCTTCTATACGGGTCAGAAACTTGTACTGCGTATCACGAAAAGGACTTCTAACCGGTTACAGACTTTTACCAACAGATACCCACTTCGCTGGCTCCATACTGAAGATCGAATGGCCAGCCGGCAGGCCAGAAAGAATTAGTGAAAAGAAATTCTGGCTGGGAACAAACCTCCCACGAGCCGATTGCTCAACAAATACGCAGAATCAAAATGGAGATAGATTGGGCATACATTGAGGAAACCGTCGTGTGACATCGCACGCCAGGCCATTGCTCCAGTGGAATCTAAGTGGAAAACGATGAGTTGGTCGTCCTAGGGTGATATAGAGGTGGTCGTGTGAAAAAGAGGTGACAGAGTTTGGGCAATCGTGTACCCAGCTGAAGAGGTTGGCAGAAAAAAATAAAAGAAAGTGGAAATATGTTGTCGAAGCCCTGTGTTCCATTCGGAACCCAAGGGAATAATAATAATAATAGATTTTGCTCATATCTCTGAAACTTCGGCAACAACACAAGATAATGTATTTGTAACTATATCTTCACGCCTATCTAATTTCAAAGTAAAGCCTGACGCTTAACCAAGCAGCCTTGGTAAATATTTCCCTCCACCCCACCCTTCACCACCAGAAAACAGATATCTTTAATGACTTCAAATATTAGAAATTTAAGATGAGATAAAATCCAACAAGGCCAATTATTTAATCCCACTTGGTGGCTTCCAATGGAATCAATCAAAATTATGCTTATTATTTGTCAATTACTTCATCACAGCAATCCTCGATCCGGGGAGATACAGATTTACCAACTGCTTATATTAACCAGTAAAAAACATCGTATATCTTTGCTCAACACTGCATAACAGTAAATTTAGTTGGGTACCTGTTGTCCCTTACATTAATTACTGACTAATCGAGGATACCTGTATTTCAAAGAATACCTGAATTCTCAATAAAGATTTAATCAGCATTATTGAGCTTTATTGATCCCACTAGTGAGTGAAATATTCTCCAGTCTCTCCTCCTTCATTCAGCTTACTAGAGTGAATGCTTCAATTCTTTTTACTCCTTGAATGCATTAATGACACAAAATCAAAATATTTCAGCATTTGCATTCACTTTCTGTTCATTGTATATGTAATCAATATTTTAATTAAAATAAATTTTGATTGCATGGAGGATTTTACCATGAGGTGACAACAGTTAGAGAACCTCTGGAAAACCCTGGAGTACTGGACAGGTGTTTCGTCCTAGTTTTGGACTCTTCATCAGTACTCACTCACCGGGGTTCGAACCCAGAACCTTCTGGCTATGTCGTGAATTGGCAGAAGTTAGAATTCAAGGACCATTAGATCGGGTCCCAGTGGCTCAATGGTCTACCAGCTCGCTGGCCTTGTAACCAGAAGATCCTGGATTGGAACCCCGGTTGGTGCGTACTGCTGAAGAGTCTCAAACTAGGAGGGGGAAACAGCTGTCCAGTACTCCCTGGCAGGTTTTCCAATGGTTCTCTAACTGATGTCAGCTCATGATAAAATCCTCCATGCAATCAAAACAAAATCCCTACAATACCCAATACTTGTAAAATACATTTTAACGAAACGTGAAGTAATAAAATATTAACCTGAGGATGATTTCTTATGTTGTCTTCAAATGACTCTATACTTCTTTTTGCTCGTCTATGCAATCCAGGCGGAAGTTGTACATCATCAAGACATTTTGGTGAAGATATTTCGTAAACATTTGCAAAATGAAGCTAAATGTTTTTTATTGAAAGTAAAAATAAAGTAAAAAAATAAAAATAACATTAGGATTATTGATATTATTATGATAACTGAGAATTATTGTTTAATTTAATGTTAAAATGTTTAAATCTGGTCTAAAGATTCACACAATTTGTTTACAGTGAATAGAAGTTTTTGTTCCGAATTGACTCTTCAGAAGTTAATGCATCAAGATCAATTGGTTTTCAAGGAATTACTCAGATTAATAATAATAATAATAATAATAACGATAATAATAGTAATAATAATAACTGCATTGAAGGTGACCTTCTCTGCGTTTTAGTGAGAAGTTGAGATTTTTGTATTCAGAAAGTATGCATGTCAGTAGACATGTTTAAAACTTTAATTCTAAGAAAGCTTACTAAATTATATAAATTTAACAGAAGAATGAAAATACAACGACCATTTAAATGTTGACGTCTTCATTAAGATAACTGAGATAACTATGAGCTTTGGTCTGTTTTATTAGTTAGTAGGTAATCGATATTGTAAACCACTGTTCTGCTGCATCTCTTAAGCTATTCACATGATATACAATTTATCAAGGTACTCACACAACTTCCTAACTTCATTTATATAGTTCCATTATTTTTCACTTGATTTTCGCTTGATTTGATTGGCAGTAGTATTTTCCACATTTCAGGTATGAGTGATGAATCATTCCTATTGCATAGGTTTGGTGTAGACTCGATGAACAAGGATTCAGTAATCAACCTCTCTCTCCACCTATCTAGATTACTTTCTACAATTTTAACCCTCTCCCACCCTATTCTGTGGTTGTGTCTTAATGCATGTACTGCAATTGCTGAGCTTTTTTCTAAATTACTTATCTTTTCAGGGTCAACCATTCTTATGTTCTGACAGACAGTCTGACTGCCCTTGACCTACTAGTTTGACCTATGTAGTTGCCTTAACTCACAGTCATTGCAAGGTATTTTGTAAATTATATTCTTTTGTCTAATTGGGTCAACTGGGTCCTTTAACCTAAAGAGCTTGTCCTACCTGGGTGAGTTTGTAGGTTCAAACGCCACCCTAATTCCTGCTTTATTAAGAATCCTAGGAAGGGCCTCATATGTCCTCTCCTTATATAGCAAGACTGTAGATAACTTATATTCTCTCTTATTTATGTTATCATGATTAGTTTCACCATTATTTTTATTTTGCTTTTGACCTTCATTGATATTCCTAATGAATTTTATAGGATAGTTATTTAACATCAAAGCCTCTTTTATCTGTTTTAGTTCATCATTTAGGTCTTTTCTTGTGCTACTTAGTGCTACTGCTCGGTTTGTTAAACACTTAACTAAGCCTGCCCTAACAATTAACGGAGGAGATGAATTAAAGTCTAAGTATCTATTAGAATGGGTTGGTTTTCTGTACACACTAGTGTGTAGTTTACCTTCTTCTATTCGTTTTATTTTACAATCTAACATAGTTAATTCTCCTTGTTCATTTTCCGATTCAAATGTGAACTTTATTCCCTCCACTAGTGAGTTTATGTGTGTTAAGAAGTTAGAGATATGTTCTGTTCATGAAAGTGTCATCCACATATCTCCACCATAATTTTGGAGTAGGAGTAAACGTATTGAGAGTATTACTTTTCCAGCTATTTTCACATAATTAATACTGTTATCATGCATAGTATGTGTAGAGAATTTCACTAATTAGTGAGTAAAAATATTACAAGCTTGAGTTTTTTTTGTTACCATATTATTATTATTAATATTGATAAAATTAAACACTGATGTTGAGAAGTATTTTACCGAAGCACTACTAAAAACACCTTCAGAAGTTGACTATCTGATGTTTTTTTTAGGTCAAACAGACTATGACCATAATTACATTAAAGTCTTCGATAAGTTCTATCATTTTGTGCAACTCATGCAAGCTAAATAAGATTCTCTTTCCTTCCTGCATGAGTAGTTACATTGTAGTTATCAGATAAAATCAGCGTCATCGTTACTGAAATTGATTTCTTTTTAATTTAAGTAGTTACACCAATCGGGCATAACTCAACGCTTCTCGTCTCTTACAGTTTTTTTCAACTCTTGCATCTTACCTATTTATTCTTCTTTATTGCTCACCCTTATTCTTTCCTACGTTGCATAAAAAAGACTTTGTCATACTTTGTAGGACTCTGAAGACTGTCAGTAGGGCGAATGGTATCCCATTAGGCCATATCGCTGACATCGTCATTACTGTAGGCACCTGATTGCATGCAACAAATTTGCTGAAGGGATTTTGTCAGACTGTAGTGAGCATCCACTTTACTCACAATTTTCACCTTGTATCTCCTCAGGTAAAACAAGAAGTCATTTCATCAAAAGACTTTATGAGCACACATCTAAGCATTAAAAATTCACGATACCATATATATGGCATGTATTTTATGTGGTGAAAATAGTGTCAGGCACAAACCAACTAACTAACCTTCTTACCACTAGTAAATAAACAGTTTTCTCCACCCTTATAACTTCAAGCTTTACTGTTTTTTTATTCCTCTTATATTTATAATCCTCCTATTCTGTTGTTTATTTTCTTATAAGTGTAAATATCATTTAAGCTGTGTAATAATTGTCACTTTCTCTTCACCATGGAATATCAAGAGAACGTTAAATTCAATATTCTATAACATATTAAAATTTCCATACAGTATCAGAAATACTGCTTGACACAAACATATTGTTAATATTATTATTAGAGTTATTATTTTCATTTTGTATTTTGCATAAATTTTTCACTTTATTGCTCCTGTAAATGTGGACAAATTCTTGTGGTTACTTTTATTTATACTGTGAGTAAATTAGATGCAATATTATGACAATTGCTGAGAATTCTATACCGTATTTTAAGCAGTGTTTTCTAAGAATAAAGCAGATTCTTATTAATATTATTATCATATTATGCAACTATTTCAGTAAATTATGTAATAACTTCAAACGGTATGAACATTATGGACAGAGAATTAGAAACTTCTATCCATTTATAACAGTTCAATTTCCAGAATTGAAAGCCATTACAAAAGATGGAAACGTCTTCCCAACTGCAGCTAAGAAGCGGAACTGAATGCAGTTTCGCTTCTATTTTAACAAGCAATACACTAGTTCCAGACTCTTTACGATTTTAGTCAAAACAGTTTGGAACTTTAGAGAAATTTGTATGATGTGCAATACTACAGCCTGTAAATAAGCAATTCAGTGAGAATACTCTGTAAAAGTCACTTCAGAGCACTTATTCACAGTTTCCGTTTAGCTTTATTTTTATCGTTTAGTCAATTTGTAACGTTACATTTAGTAAAGTAACAAATAAAGAAATCTCAACTAGGCCTTTCTGTTGTTTATTCTAAATCCTAGATCATACTTTCTGTAAACCCAAAGAAAACACGACTGCATATGTAACAAGTTTATTTATCCCCGAATATTATCACCTAAAAATTGTGTGACTTTACAAATAATCAGACTGTCGATATTAGATGGTTGGAAGCAATCGGCAGGAAGCCTTGGACTTGGGTTTCGTGCTAGTTAGCACTCGTCAGCAGGGTGTGTCTGCAAGCTTGAACGATCAGACACACTACGCCAGTCACTGCGTAGTGTCTAATCAAAGTTATCTAGTAGTCATTTAATAATATCTGAAAAATAACACAAAAATGTTTTCAAAATGAACAGTTTCCAAGTACTTGTGCGTCTTTATTTTCTAAGGAATTCTAATGTTTAACAAACGATAACATCAGATAAGATATCAAAGTCCGAATTAATAATTTAAGACAGGCCATCATTATTCTGAATTCAGTGTGAAGATCTACATCATTCAGAACAATAAACAAGACACAAATTTATAACATTAAAATCAAGTCAATTCCAGATGCCAAACCTATTCTCTAAAGCATTTCCAGCCTACTTCAGAGTGTATGCCACACCTCTCTTTGCTTGATACTGAAGATGTAACAGTCAGCTGGAAAGGATTAGCAAAATGAAACCATGGCAAGCAGTGAAAATAGCCAACAGCCTACCACTCAACTAGTATGTGGAAGAGAATGGAGACGGACTAGACATACTCTGAGAGGACTGTTGAGAATAATCGCACGCCAGGTTGTCAAGCGGAACCCAGATAGGAAGTCAAAAGATGGTTGTTCACATGTGACGTGAAGGATATCATGAGACAAAAAAAACGAAAGCTTCTGGGTAGTCATGAAGCCTGGTGAAAGTGACAACAAAGTAGCTGAGGACCATAGTAGTGTGATACCGACGACAATTTTCAACTCAGAATGCAAGGAATAAATGATGTCTAAAATGTTCCTATCGTATGTATATTTAATTTCATGCAGCCACCGTTATGTACCATATAGTGTCAGTGTTCCAAGCATGATTTTTTGCATGAATGTTTGGCGTAGAACTGTCTTAATAGACAAAGTTTTAAACCACAGCACCCGTGCTGCTTGATGCCACATCATATCTTCCATGTTAAGCCTACAACTAGAAATGCGTTTCAAATATACACCAAAAGAAGACTTTTGGGTTACTTTTACTTTTACCGCTGGCTTTACTTACAATAAGTATCATAATACATATTCAATGTAGCTCTACAAAGTGTCAATGTGTAAGTATGTTAACAAGAAATTGGATTAACTATCTTGACAAATATGAGGGCTAAACACCTAAGAGCCAACTCAGTAATTATCTGAATATTTAAGCAGAGAAATGAGACTTCGAAAAAAGCAATAATATATGCACTTGTAAAATCGAAATTCCTGGAAGTTTTAAAAGTAGTTAGTCCATAAAACTGAGGTAATTAAGGGTATTAAGGTCATGATTAGACTGAAGATGCAGCTGGGTATCATATAAATACAAGGTGTAAGTCCATGTAAACAAAATATTTTTATAACCAATGTATCGATTTTCGGCAGTTGGAAAGAATGAAACCAGTAAATGTGTCAAATACATTGAATCACAAATCATAGCCTTTTATTCCATCAAAAAAATGCTTTTTTATGCCTCTATTTTCGCAGGATATGATGAAATCAGTGTCACCAACACTGACTTTTTTCTCTGTGCAGCTCTTAACTTAAACTTTGGAAATTATCAAAAACATTACACAGAGTGTAAAGTGGATTCTATTGATGTATGATTCTTTATTTCCAGTCAAGTCCTGTGGAATAAACTTGAGCCATCCTCATGAAATATTCTAGGACAGTTAGTATTAGTTTTAACCTATTTTGGAGGGGAAATTTCATTGCAGAGGGGATATTCAGGAATACGCTTTTATTAAACGCAGACACTTACGGCATTGTACACTTGGAAAGTCGTCAAATAAGCCTCGGTAATTATGTATTTCTATATCACTTGGTGGTCTTCAGAACCTCATCAGCTGTTGTATCAAAACTGTTATTACTACTATTATTACGAGTGACCGAGCATATACAACCAAGCAATACTGAAAACTGGTCATGATATTCATACGAATGTGATTCATAACTTTCTATTCTACGTCATTCAAATATATATACTTACATCAATTAATTAAGGTACGATACGAAAAATTCCAAATAAAATTTGGAAATCGAAGTGGTGAATTCCTACAGTGTTTCACGAAATAAGGTTTTTTACTGAATTTTTCACAAGTGGTTCGAGTTGTTCTGTCACATTTCTGCACATAATAAGTAGAAATAAAGTTCAAATTAGAAATCCTCATAAGTCAGCTAGAACATAAGTTCTTTTTAATTGACAGGTAGAAGCACTGTTGTTTTGGCCATTCACAAATATCTCACAAACAAGAATCGCTTCCCTTTCATTCAATCTCATTCACCAAAGTAAAACAAGTATTCATTTACTGAATTATCATGCTAAAAAGCCTCTTTTGCATTTGTGCGTATGTTACGAAACAGGTGGCAGGATATAAAGTCAGACAACTAGTCTTGCGAAGGTTCTCACTGCTGGTTGAATTATTAATGGTGATGTAAACTACAACCACCTTGCCAGATATATTGCACTATTATTCCTAATAACTCACTTCATTTAGGATACTAGAATAGAGCTCAAAGTTCTACCCTCCTAGTGACCGTTTTAGACAAAATGGTTTTTTCTCAATAAACATCTAATTACAGAAATTCTGCGTTGAAACATTTTTCCTTAGCTCTTAAAACTTGAAGCTACATTGTGGTTTAATAGTATCTGGCTACTGCTGTTAGCCACCTCAAATTCCATATAAACAGTAGTCAGACAAACCTCAAGCGAAAAGTGACTAAGTTTATTGTTAAAACTTAAAATTTCCAAGCTAAAGTATTCCGTAAAGATATTTCATGCGCACTTAGAATAGCTTAACAGCTGAAAACTGAAAGAATACTACTTTCCATACAACATTATGACCATCTGGTATCAAAGGCTTTGTGGTCAGTATCTTGAAACTTCTTCCTGCAGAGAATTAATTGGAAAACTCGTGAAAATGAAAGGTGATATAAATGTGCGAAATAAAGCATTAAGAGTGCTTTGCTTCTCCCTACATTCTTAAAAGAGACCTCATTTAATGTAGAAAATTCATATCAAGCATCGAACGTTTCAGCAAGTGTTATGGCATTAAGTTTCGAAGATATACAATACTAACCTTTCCAATTACTGTCCCGCCGAATTCACTAACGATCAATTTAAGTTCATCCTCAGGAAGGTCTGACTCGATTGCGTAATACTTACCACATGACAGAAAAGCAGTTGGTATATTACACAGAAATATTATAGTCAATACGCTCAGCATCGTGCACGGTAAATAATTGAATAGATGAATAAGTGCGATCTAAAGGCTATTAAGATTTGGAATAGTAAAACAAAAGTTGACTTATCATTTCCACTTTTTATTTTAAAAATCCTAGAGGTCTTCGGCTAATTTGCTGGAATTTCTCGATCTGGATATATTGTAATGGTAATTCCTTTTTCGAAAATTTTATTGAACCTTTGTTATACCTCACTTAACAACATAAAATTTGAATGGGGAAACACAAATCCTTGCCATGAAGAATGTTTATGAAAATTCGGCAATATTTCGAACTGTATTTCAGATAACTTCATTGGATTTACTCTGCTTGGTTATAATCACTCATAAACAGGTAAATAAATCAAAATGATCAGTTTTCACAATGCATTGCGTTAATAACATAAAATAGATTCCTGCACATCTGTTTACCTTATATTAACACGTCGTTTAATGCGATAACTAAAAATCGAAGCTAGGTTGTAGAGCGGGGAAGACAAAGTTCAGCGAAGACATCTTTTCGGCGAGTTCATTTTCAAAAGCTGTACAATCGGATTCATATACATAACTTTACATAGATACAATTCTTATTTGATTCCACATAATTACGAAGGCGAATAAAAGGTGACAATTATTTTCAACCAGACATGAGTCACGAGAGCCTTTGAAACAAAAATTACACGGGATTAGGATATAAGTGTAAAAGAGCTATTTTAAACGAATTATAAATGTGAGCGGGAAAAACAGGAAAACGAACTAAAATTAACTGTTCTTATGACTGAAAAATGGGGTGAATTGAATGAAGACAGAGGGAGTAAGAATCACACACAGAGTGAACGATAAAGAGCGAAAGTAAAAGAAAAAAACGGAGGCAAAAAGAACATTCTGAACTAGGTCCATGGTAGTTGTAGAGGTCGGACTAATTTATTTTGATCACGCAGCCCCGGCTTTTCCATGCATAATGTGGCGGCGTCTGTGGTACCAAAAAGTCGAAAACATACTGCTTTTGGCAGGTTTCTGTTGGCTTTATAAATTACTTTGAATGAATAAGTGTGGGAGTTGTTGATCAGATGTTGAATAACAGCTCTTCTGATTGAACGAGTGCGTACTCTATACAGAAACGCTGGGTAATATCCACTGACACGTTTCGAAAGGACGTGCATACAACGACCTATGTAACTAGCGCCGTACGAGCAGGTGAACTGGGATGTGCACACGTTTCTTCTTCTTTTCTTTCGCTCTTTTTTCGTTCACTCTGTGTGTGATTCTTACTCCCTCTGTCTTCATTCAATTCACCCCATTTTTCAGTCATAAGAACAGTTAATTTAAGTTCGTTTTCCTGTTTTTCCCGCTCACATTTATAATTCGTTTAAAATAGCTCTTTTACACTTATATCCTAATCCCGTGTAATTTTTATTTCAAAGGCTCTTTTAATTGATATTCACACCTCCCAACTTCCATTTAAAGTTGAAAATTATTGTTTCAGTGTTGTTTCCATGCTCATTTTTACACACTTGTAGTCCGTTCCAACCCTGTGTAATTTTGTTTCAAAGGCTCTCGTGACTCATGTCTGGTTGAAAATAATTGTCACCTTTTATTCGCCTTCGTAATTATGTGGAATCAAATAAGAATTGTATCTATGTAAAGTTATGTATATGAATCCGACTGTACAGCTTTTGAAAATGAACTCGCCGAAAAGATGTCCTTGCTGAGCTTCGTGTTCTCCCCTTTTAATATCCCTATTTGTTTTTTCTACGATCTCGAAAAGAGCAAGGACACTTCAACAGTGAAGGAACTCAGCGGGTTTTTTCGTTCCTCTGTCAAATTTGCCAAAGTAAATGCAAAATTGAAATTCTTCATGAGCTCTGTTAATAATCGTACATATCCCAAATGGTTCTGAAAAGTGCTGTATGGCTAGGTTATCAGCATAACAATGTTTAATTTGCTGAGTGAGATTGCACTAAGACATTAGGATTTTGGAAGTGTGAATATGGTCAATATTTTACCTGCCAGTTATCTTTTGGCACAATCGTACACATTTAACGCACCTTGTAGAAGGTCAGCAGATATAAAAAAGGACAACCACCCAATTGTTCGTAATACGATTAATGTTTCCTAATAAACATCAAATAAAAAAGCTTGATTGGCTACGTATGATCGTGTGTAAGCAATACATCCTCACATATCCATTCCGATTCATCAGTGTTTAATTGAGTGATTTCAGATAAACCACGGAGGGTTACGCCTTAGTTCTGAGTGCATTTCACTCTGTAGGCTATCAGCTTTATGAACTTTGCATCTGGAAACTGAAATTTGTCGAGTGTTTACTTTTCCGGCCATCTGTTACCTTCCTTGTGCCAAACCACGATACGTGTCTCTCACACCACAATACAGATTAGATTAACCCTGAGAGATATAATGATAATGATATATTCTCACTTCATGTACGTGGGGGACACCAGTTTACAGGCATCATCTGTATGATGATATATGCATGGGATAAGCATATTTACAATTTTTCACTTGCAAAGGATATATGTTTATATATCGATACGAGGAAAGTTAATGGAATGATTTCATTACGCACAAATTACATAGGTTAAAACAATTTACATCAAGCTCCTCCCGGATAGCATCCTGGTTATAAAAACAGTGTTCTCATGTGTCTGTCACCTGTTGCTTCTTCTACCTCTGTAGTTACTTTGTCATAGTACTGTATTTTTCCTTTCCCAAACTGTTTGTCACTCTGTTTTTCACTTATCCGCAGATTGTACTGGATTCATCCTATCGTATTTGTTCTCTGGAACACCTCGTCTTCTGCCTCACTATCTTCGTTTCCTCCATCACATACAATTCGCCTGAAGTGAATAATTCTGTGTTCTACATGTCGTTCGTATCCAGAATATCTATACTAATTTCATTTTCGACACTTCTTCATAGTTCCATTACTTTGGCAAGCCGGTTTTCTTGTTGATCCTGCATAATATCTACAATCATTTCCCGGCAGGTCGATGTCAGGCGATGGCTTGCAGTCTTACATCTCAGCTCTCCAGTTTCGAACTTCAGTTGTAGCTGATTTCAGGCTACTTTGCACGATTTTCATATTATCGTGAAGGTTTGCTAGTGGATTAACTAAACCTATTTGTGCTCCTTTGCTCATTCTTGCGACCGGTAGTCTGCATCCTCAATTCCCTGAGATTGATATGAAGTCTCTATGATTTTCTGTGTCTGTAGATCCTGCCTTCAGCACGAAATGAATGAGCTCGGACATGTATTCGAATGGTTTTACGTCATAATAATAGTAATTTATATATCACACAAACATGTGTTCACAAGAAATGCAGGACATTTTTACAGGCACGATTAGTTATACTATAAATTGCAATCCTGAAGTATCATAAATTAATAATTTGCAAAAGTTTAGATTGTTCATTTATTGTACATCCGATCAGAACAGGTTCTTGTTAATGTTAAATTGTAAACCCTTCACTAAGGTAACCATCGAAGTTAAGTAACAACCCAATCTTCGTTCCGTTTCCTGCTGATAGCTATGATCAACCAGTGAACAGCTTATATTTGAGAGAGTGCTATGTCGCCACTTGATTAAAAGCCATTTCAGGAAGAGGAGAATGTCCTGTGGAACACTAAAGTAAGTGTCCAGTTAAACACACAAAGAAGTACTTTTACAGCAATAGGCCATTTTCATTCCATGTGCGGCCATGAACTGGAATCATGGAGAATTGATACATGTGATGACAAGTGACAATTGGACCATGTAGGAGCAATTAACTTCCGTTATAAATCAGATAACTAGATTTATTGGCGCCTAACGGGTAGTTATTAGGATATTCTTGTTGGTATAAAGGTATATTCCACAATTGTCATCCAGGATGCATCACGGAGGAAGTTCACGAGGTAGTTGTAGGATATGGAACTAGCAAAGTTTGCAGATCATTTGTCATTGTAAGTGATAAAATATCTACATCCTTTATTCCAATTCAAAATGTCATATTGAAGCCAAAATGGTGAGAGAGAAAGGAAGACAAACGACAGCAGCACAGAAGAAAGCAAGCTGAATGCTCAAGGAGTGATTTATGGGTTTATATATAGATATGTATTCTGTGAAAGTTGCTATAATTTTTTACTACACTAACTAAACAGTCTTTTTATGCTAACTTTGACATTATGTGTGAACTGATATTAATGTCCTGTGTAGGAATGTTTATCATGTCCTTTCAACAATACAGACATTTATAATTATAGGTTTTTGTGGCCTATACGTTAAATGAACTTAAAAAATATATGTGGGGTTAAAAAGAAGATGTAGGAGTCAAACGCAGGAGTGCTGTGAATGTCCAGGTCTTACTACACTCACTCTGTCCCTGGAAAACTCTCAGAAACAATTTGTGATAACAAACGCGAAAAAACAGAACACAGATTAGCGACTCGAGAATCCTTTATTCTAACGCCAATATGTAACCAACAATAAGGTTATTATACACAAGGTCTAGGAAGAAATGTGATAAGAATAAATCACGATAGTAATTCCGATAGTTTTCTATTTTCCAATGTCAATGTAGTTGAACATTGAACGATCAATTCACGGTTGTTTGCTCAAACCCAACTCCTCCATATTTTTCGCGGGAGTCATCAATCCTGCAGTCATCGCCTCATCGTTCGCTGTTCAAAGGAAGATAAAAAGCTATCAGAAGTATAATCGTGATTTATTCTTATCACATTTATTCTTAGACCTTTTGTGTAATAACCTTATTGTTGGTTACATGTTGGCGTAAGAACAAAGGATTCTTGAGTCGCTAATCAGTGTTCTAGTTTTCGTGTTGGTTAATACAAAGTAATTCTGGAAGTATTCCAGGGTCAGCGTGAGGTCCAGCGTAGTAATAGCCGGACATTGACAGTTTTTGAGTGTTGGCGGACATCCACTGAACAGCGAACGATGAGATAATGACTGCTGGATAGATGACTCCGGCGAAAAATGTGATGGAGTT